GTTGCAGTCTAAGTAGACAGGACCGTTGTGAGTTAGAAAAGCCGTTTCAGAATCACTAGCTCTCAAGAAAACCAACTTCAATGTGCAAACTGACCGCTAACAGCTAATAAACCTCTTTTGTGTTTATCGACAATCTTTTTGCATATATTCATGATCCATATGCGACTGTCTTCGTGGGCTCTGGATTGAGCTTAAAGGTACAACGGGATGGGCATGCCTCGTAAGCCGATCGGTGAAGCAAGCATGTAGCACCTGCTCGTCATCAGGCGAAATGAAAAACAAGAGGTGAGTTTGTCATAATGGTGTTCAAGGATGCAGACAGAGAGAAGGGCAGGCGACCTTACGAGGGGGATGTGTGCAGCGTGTTGTGGTGACTTTCAGAAGTGAGGCGAGGCGAATAAAGTCTCAGGTGTGACGCACTGTTTCGTGGTAGGGGGGTGAGGGGTAGGAGGCAATGGCGTGCAGGTGAAGTTCAGCATGCCCAAGCACGCATCGGGAATTTTTATTGTTAAGGTGGACGCCGGTCGGTCCACCTTGATCGGATGGCCTTGTAGTGGACGTCAAGGTCAATATGTCTGTTTATGCTGTCCGCATTAGAGTACCAGGCTTCGAGGAATTCCTGTGCCTGTTTAGTGTTAGTCATCGCGACCAATTCAGCGTCTTCTCAATCGAAGCGATGGTCACAGTCAAGAGCTTGCGCAAACACAAGAGATAGGGAGTCTCGGCAGCGGATTGCAAGCTTGTGTTCGTTAATAGGAGTCTCAGATTTTAGACCCGTGTGACCAATATAAACACAGTGACAGTTTAAGCACGGGACACGGTAAATGACATTGTTTTGATATTTTTTGGGTATGGGATCCTTTACCCGGAATAATGCTGCGCGTAGGGGGGACGCCAGTGTGACAAACTCACATCTCAGTTTTCATTTCGTCTGATGACGAGATTTACGAGTAAATCTCTCCTTTTCGATGAACCTTCCCCCTTCATCATATAACCTCGATATGCACACCACTTCATCTATTCTTCATATGCATATATGTATTTTGAATTCAAATAAGTTCTTCAGGAAATAGAATTCTATTGTGTGAATTTTCGAGAATGGAGCCCCAGCTCGTCGCCAGACGCATAGTAAAACGAAAGTGCCAAACAATACAAAAATAAAATTCTATTTCCCGAATAACGTATTGGACTTCAATTTATATTCCTTGAGATGCTTACCTTTCAACATATATATGCATAAACAAGACATAGATAGAAACACCCTGACGGGCATGAGTGGAAATATTGAGATTGGGGAAATTGAACCCGGGAAAGGTATCACAGATACCAGCAGAAGACGGCAAACTGAAATATGTGAGATAAACTTACTGCCGTAGCAAGCATCACGAGTGAGAAAGTCGCTCTTCTCCAGACTCATGCGCCAGTGGTTGATGTGATATTCGACTACCTTGCCATTAGGTCTCTGTGGTGGATGCCAAGAGAGTTGAATGCTTGCAGGGCCGGCAGACACGGCTCGGAGGGCCGTGGGCGGTGACGGAGCTAGGCGAAGACCGTGCACATACAAGTAACTCCACTGTCACATAAATTCGCCGATTTGGTGTGCAGTTGGAACCATAGGATAAAGGATGCCAAATGATTTATAGCAGCAGAAGAAGCAACAGTTTAATGGCGGTCGAAGCAGCGCGAACAACTACGGTAGAAGTAGGAACCTGTGCTATCGGAATTTGTGGCATAAGGTGTCTTAGATACGAGGGCAGTAAAGACAAAAGTAAGTGATGTGATATTACTATCATCACTATAAGCAGTAGTTTTTATTATATCGACAGTAGCAGTAACAACAGCAATAGACGTGGAAGAAGAAGGGTTGCTTATACCACTACTGGTATAAATGGCAAAATAGTAGTAGGAGATATCACTGCAATAAGGAAAAACGACAGACTGGTTAAAATTTGGATACTTACTGGCTGGCTTAGTGGTAAAATGGAAACGCCGGCTTCGAGCTCCCTCGTGCTTGCTTAACGTTGCAATCGTGATGAAGGCGGAATAGGAGGAGGCAGGTAATAGGCTGTCCAGAGTGCACATCAGCATGTCCGGTTCTGAAGAACCTTTACCAGTACCATTTGTTCTTAGTAGTGAGTTCAGGACTGGCAGCGATTGTGCTGGAGGTCTACAGTTCAACTCCACCTCACTCCATCTAAAATTGGAGGAGACAAAAGTGATGAAACTTGATTTGTTAATCGTTTCGTCAGTTTCTAATGTTTTGCTCAGCGCTGATCACGTAGACCACTGTTCAGCAAACGTAACCCACTCATAATATGATTTGCTACTATGGGGCGATGTCCACTTCACTAGCTTGATGAAATTTCGGCGTCGGATAACCCTACGAAAAGTGTGCCCCCGAACTACGCTAGCAGGGATCACATGCTTTATGCATTGTACACCAGTTCTTCCGTCGTATACGGTGATCACCATTTTCACCAGACTATGTTTGCAGGTTGGGCGAAGAGCTAAGGTGCATCGATAGTCGTTGTTGGGCTGACATCTGGGTCGTCAGACGAGTCCGGTCACAATCTTAGATGGGAGTTAACCATCGTGTTAAGTTCACGTGTTGCTGGTGGTGGTAGAACGAAAAGCACAGCAGTGTGATTGGTGTCAGGCCCTAAAAATGGTTGCGCTGCAGACGCGCTGGACCACAATGACTGCCAGACTGCCTCACCCGACACGTGTAAGGAGTTCGCTGAGCCCATACTTTCCCATAATTACTGCCATGCATGCTTGGGAAAAACCTTGGAAGTGGACGTTCACACCACGTCAACTTCTGCGCCAATTCCCATCGCTAGTTGGATGAGAGGCTCCAAAAGCCATTTGGTGAATCAGAACAAAGATGGAAGGAATTTATGCGCGCAGCATATCAACACATTCCTCAATAATAATAAATTTAACGCATGCTAAAAGTCGCAGTTTATAAAGGTTGCCAAATGACCTTACCGACCAGGGCCTATCTGGTATTCCTACATATACAGTTCTGCGAATCCTGCAAACAACTTTCAGGACGAAATTTAACTT